CATTATGTACAATGCTTGCATGTTATTGGTCAAACTACTTTTTGATCATTACCTTCAGCAAGCATGAAAACAAAGCCAAAACAAATCCTGGCCAGGACGCGTCCTGGGAAAATGGCACGTATGGTTACCCTATTGTAATTGCAATGTTGCAGCTGTGCATTGCCTACTAAAGTAGACATGGATCTGCTTTTAGTGGATGAAGAGATGATGCTGAGAAAAATATTTATATGTTATTCAGTGGTTTACAGAAGCAAGGCATAGATATGTATAGGTAGATGCCACATTTGACCGCTCCAGACATGTTGATGCATCCGCCATCTTGGAATGGTCAATGGGTTTTTAATCACTTAACAATAAAAATCAATGAGTTTTGTCAATCAATGAGATTCCACAACATTGCACAGCCTCTGGTTGTAAAAACCACCAAAATTTTAATTCCCAAAGAGACTGGATAAACTTTCACAGGTAAGAATGTGTTGGTTTGCGTTTTTAATATGTATTAACTCAATAGCTAAAGTCTATTGCAGATATAGATATTCATACATGCGTATAACTGGGGTTGCAGACACACAAGGAAACTTGCCCTTGAGTGTTCACTGACCGGCTTTGACTGTTCCAGTACGATGGACGTCTTATGTATCTACCTAAACATTTCTATGGTGAACAATTCATCTTTGCATCATCCATGACCTCATAATGGTTCATCAAAATGTCATGGATGTTCCGGTGAAAGTGACAGATTTCTCTCTGGTGATGTGCTGTATGCATGACTTCTCCAGTCATTTACCCCGTCCCTGCGAGCTTGCATTCATCTGCCTCCATTTTGAAGTGCAACGGCTATATTGCAAGATTCAATCAACCAACAATGCATAGAACCAAGTCCTTGCCCTACATTTATTTCATTTTCAATAATCACAATACAGAAGAAAATATCTTATGAAGAAAAAAAATTTCTGTTTCGTCTCGACTTCAAAAACAGTCTTTCCAGAGTCTCTTGGTAGATTTGTAGACATGCAGTTTTTAATAAAGTATGTAACCCTTCTATTGGTATTTATATATTCAGTTGGCGCACAGGAGCCTGATGCATTGCACAGCCTCTGGTTGTAAAAACCACCTAAATTTAAATTCCCAAAGAGACTGGATAAACTTTCACAGGTAAGAATGTGTTGGTTTGTGTTTTTAATATGTATTAACTCAATATTGCAGCCTTTTAAGCTATTGTTGTATTGTGTTAGTTTGTTGTATTGTGTTAGTTTAGCAAAATCATCTGCTAAAGTCTATTGCAGATATAGATATTCATACATGCGTATAACTGGGGTTGCAGACACACAAGGAAACTTGCCCTTGAGTGTTCACTGACCGGCTTTGACTGTTCCAGTACGATGGACGTCTTATGTATCTACCTAAACATTTCTATGGTGAACAATTCATCTTTGCATCATCCATGACCTCATAATGGTTCATCAAAATGTCATGGATGTTCCGGTGAAAGTGACAGATTTCTCTCTGGTGATGTGCTGTATGCATGACTTCTCCAGTCATTTACCCCGTCCCTGCGAGCTTGCATTCATCTGCCTCCATTTTGAAGTGCAACGGCTATATTGCAAGATTCAATCAACCAACAATGCATAGAACCAAGTCCTTGCCCTACATTTATTTCATTTTCAATAATCACAATACAGAAGAAAATATCTTATGAAGAAAAAAAATTTCTGTTTCGTCTCGACTTCAAAAACAGTCTTTCCAGAGTCTCTTGGTAGATTTGTAGACATGCAGTTTTTAATAAAGTATGTAACCCTTCTATTGGTATTTATATATTCAGTTGGCGCACAGGAGCCTGATGTCCCAGCTGCATGATAGATTGAGAATTAGGCTGAAAATTAACTTATGGTTTCTATTACGCCTGCTGTTCAGCAACGATCAATTTAGTCGACGGATTTCAAATCAAAATGACTAAAATGCCAGTCACACCCAGAAAGCATTTAACTATTTAACAGTTATACTTGTTATGCCCTTGCTAACTAAACTTAATCAGAATATTTCCAGACATCATTAGTCTCCGTGTGCGAAAAACCAGCTGCGTCATGATTTTCCTCGCTCTTCTTCTTTGTCGCTGTGTGTATGTTTTTTTTTAATCAAGTCAATTGAGTGACTTATTCAGTGACTCACTCAAGATTCAAAAAAGCTTTCATGTGTCGCCACCTACTGGCTTAATCATGTTACAGAGCAAATTGTTTTGGTAAATGGATTCAAAAAATTCCAAAACATCCAAATTCACTTGAAAACAATTTCATTCAGACAGATATTACTAGTATACTACATATGTACATCCATGCATAACAAAAAGTGACTTATTTTAGGATAGTGTGAGCTATGGTTGAGGAAATACTTGTAATATATGTGTGTGTAAATGTGTGTTTCAGTTACAGAGGTTATGACTGCAGAAGTAACCTCTTCTACACTCAGACCGGTGAGATTGTGTATCATGTGGCGGCTGTAGGAGTGGTGTACAACAGACAGCAGAACACACAACGCTTTTACCTGGGCCATGATGATGACATCCTCTGCCTGGCCATCCACCCCATCAAAGACTATGTAGCCACAGGCCAGGTACAGTCAGCTGCATAAACGTCTGTCTGTGTCATCAACAGCATACAGAGTGTTAGCCGGGACGTCCCAAATATTGGGGTTAATTGGTATGTCCTGTACGTGACCTCCCTTGTCCCGTTTATTGACTGCTATGCTGATCTAACCACTGACTGATGCAACAGCAGCAGTGCTGATCACGACACTTGAGAATGATCACCGTCACCTGTCATCATCCAATCACAGCCACTCCCTCACGCAGTATATGTAGAGGAAGGCTGTGGAATCCTCTGCTGGCTGGTCGCTCCCGCTTTACAGTAAGCCGCGGTCACACTAATGCCAATTCCCTTGTTGTTTTGACTTCAGCAAATCAGTTTTGGCGAATGCAGACAATGTTATTATTTTTCATGAGTCCAACATCCAGCCGAGCATAACAACTTGCAATCTACCTGAGCCGTGATCAGTAAGGGAAGTTGTCTTTCACTATTGTAATGTTGTTAAAATAGAGAAAAACATTTTACATTTAAGTAACTTCTAGCAGATTTTTAACCTTGGACCTTATTCTTGAAACGAAATGACCAATAAAAATAATGTAGGCCATATCAAATCTATAAGTTGTCTTTAATTGAAAAATATGAATTTTCATTTATGCACATGTGCTCATATGTTGTGCTCATAAGTTTACACACCCCTTGAAGAATATCTAAAATGTTAAAGGGGTCATAGGATGCCCATTTTCCACAAGTTGATATGATTCTTTAGGGTCTTAATGAAAAGGCTGTAACATAGTTTGGTTAATTTCTCAATGGTAGTGTAAAAAACATTTTTTACCCTGTCAAAATCAGCTCTGTTTTCAGCAAGCCATTCTAGT